GCAACCAGCGCTGCACAAAATGCTGACAGGACCTGGAGGAGTTGGGAAGCAAAGGAAGGGTTTGGTAGGGAAAGAATATGAATGCATTACAACAGTTAGCATAGGTCCTCTAGCTACTTGATTACTGTTTGCAAACAAACAAAAAACGTTTTAAAAGAAGTGTTTTAAAACCCAAAGACTGGGTATATTTTACCAATATCAGGTCAGGCTTTGTTCTGTGTTGCAAGCAAAAGGCAGCAACTGCTTCTAAATGGACAGCTTCCAAAGCCCTGCTCAAGCAAGATGCCAGTGGAGACTTGAGAGTTACATATCCAGCCTGCACGGCTCCTGCTTTTCTTCAGGGACTGCTCCAAGTAGCATATTTGGTAGCTACAAATAAAATATTAAATACAAAGAAAATAAAGGCATACTAGTCTGCTTCCTCAATGACCCACACATGGCAGAGTTATTTAAGTATGTGGGGGTGAGGAAAAAGCATGCCTGGTTACTTCTTGCACAGTTCCTGCAGAGACATGAGTCAAATCTTTCCAGCTGATCAGAAGAGGCACCTACTCCTCTAACTGCGTCCTTCCTACATTTACAACCATGGAGTTGTTCCTGTAGAGGAATGAAACTCCCATTTTTCTCCCTCTTGGGAACATATTTTTAAATAAAATGCTTTCCCTCTTTTAGCCACACAAAGAAACAGTCCTTTAAAACACAGAAAACTGTCAGATTTCAAAGAACTGCTCCCTCTCATCTTCAGTCATAAGATGTCTGAAAGTTACATATTTTAAAGCCTTTAAATTAGGTTTTTCGTTTGCTTTGCTTTATCTACTTTCATCTGTCTACTTGCTGGAGGATCAGATTTATACGATTGTATGCCCTTCCAAAAGAGAGGGAGGGCAAAAAAAACAAACAAACAAACAAAAAAACTCCCAAAAAACCCCCCAAAAATATGGATTCAATGTGCTCATCCTCCTAGGCATATCCACCCTTGGTAGAAATACAGTTTTGTAAGCAGGCAGAATTTGTTTTGTCACAGAGAAATGTACTTTGATAGCTCAGCTTGTATCTGTGCATCACACTCAGTCCTTGTCTATCCAGTTGCTGTAAACAAGCAATCAAGAGGAAATATTTCAAGGAAATATTGAAGGAAGGCATTTAGATTTGTCTCAAGTTAATAGCTTTGCCATTAAGCTGCCAAATAAGTGAGAGTGCTACCTGTGAAACCCAGTTCTAGAACAACCGCTCCTTCAGCAAATACTGATTAAACCACCTTGATAATAGGTTCTGTCTGCAAAGGCCAGACAGGTTGGAGCTTTACATCCTACATACATTCTTCAACATAGTCTCTCCTCCATATTCTTGTTCTTCATATTCAGAAAGTTAGGGACAAAACCACCTTTAGATGCATTGGACATTTAAAATATGAAATGTAGGTCACCTAGATTTTATAAACAGATATAATGTAGGCCTGGAATGAGAATTACAGTTACTTTGGACTAGAATCCAAACAGACCATCAAACCTTAACCATCAGTTGTGTTCTAGTAAGACAGAAATTTAGCAGCTGCCCAAGTCTAGCTCATTACACACATCTTTGGCTTTATTATTTAAATCTGAAGTTCCCTTAGCTGTTTGCAGCTCTGCTTCTCATCACTGTTAACACAGACCCGAAACCAAACCAGCGAGACATGGCTTGCAGGCATTGCTGACCTCACCGAGGTTCAGCACACAACACTGCAGCTCATTTGAGCACATGTGATTCAGACTCCCCAGACTTCAGAGCACTGCTCAGAGTCACATGGATACTCCAAAAACTCCAAGAGTGGGTCTGAGAGCCTAACTCTCCCTCTCCTGCCTGAGGCTCACCACTCTCTTCAGATGTCACGAGCAGCGTTAAGTTTTTTAACTCCAGCTTCTCAGTGAAACAGTTGCAACAAAAGTAATAGAGAAATACCCCACAGACTAGTTCCCTAAATCTCAGCTCAGAGACATTGCTGATAAAATGTGAGGTTCAGGCTGAGGAAAGCAGATTGCTCTCTAGATGTTAAGTGATGTCATAATCACTTATTTCTCCAGAAATGCTGGAAATGTGAAAAAGCACATCCTTCTCTAAAGAACAGCTGAGAAGCTTTTATACACAGAATGTTCTGGGGTTGGGGATCTCAAACACAGGCAGTGTAAGACAACCCATAGTATAGACAGCAGCATATGCTGCTTCCCATTAGGCTAGCTCAATTTCAATCTTCAAGGTCCTAAAAAGGACTCACCAACACCTTCTCCTCCAAAGAAACTCAAATAGCCCAGTACAGATAGCATTTATTGTTGAATTGAACAAGGTTTGCATAAGGCAGAAGCAAGTCATAGCTCTCAACACATCTTCAACAAAACAATCAATGGCATGATTGGATCAAAAAATCTGTTCTTTAAAGTTAAAAGGCTAACCAAGATGTTACCAAACACAAATGTAGAAAGAACAGACCAAAGAACAACTCAAACCAGAAAGAATACTATCTTGGAACTTATATAATTATTGAAGTAGTGTATTAAACCAGCATAGAGAGGAGCTTTCCTAATCAATCAGTAACAGTGGGCTAGATGAACCAGGAAAGAACAAGAGTATTAATACAACAGCAGCATCTTGCCCATGCATTATGAAGCATGAGGTATTTAATATACATATTTTATCTTGAAACAGATCAGATTTATTACTTGGAAGGTGAGTATATAATAATTCAACCTTGATGAAATGTTAAAGATTGTTGTTCTCACCCATGCTACTTCCTATAAACTCTGGTGTATTATGAAATCTTGGCTGCACTAATATAGGAAGTTCTGTATTTCTCCAACAAGTTAAAGGGCCAGGTCATAGCTGGAAGGGCCAGCTTCCTTTCAACTAGTCTGTATCTCATCTATATCTCTGTAGCAGTATTCTCATTTTGCTTGCATGGTAGCAAAAGTGTGAACTAGTTTTGAGGCACCCCCTGAAGTAGCCTGGTGATCTGAAATGAAATTCTCTTCCTCTGTTAATCTCACTCTGAAAACCAGAATATCTACACACCTCCAGATTAACCAAGAGGAATTCAAGTGCGTTGAAACCGCTCACAAACGCTTAGCATTTCTGGGCAGAAGTGAAAAACCAAGTCAACTGCTTAGATGGAAATCCATGCATTTAGGGTCAAGATTCCTGTGCCTCTCCCCCTTCCGTCCTAACCAAGATGATAAATAGCAGTCTAAGAGACATGTTCAGTATCTCACTAGCACTATAGGCGCCTAAGCTTGCAAGTTTCTACCCATCTGACTTGGAAGTTCCTGCAGCTCACACATTCCAATAGAAAGCTGGACAGGTTATTACATATGGGAAAAAAAAGCTAGAAAAGAGTCCCTAAGTCCTTAGAGAACTCAGTTCAGGAAACACACTCAGGATGTCCATAGGATCCAGATCCTCATAAAATCTAACAGAGAATGGACTGCAAGAGTAACTGAGTCGTTACAGTTCAGTCAGATCTACAGAATAGCACGGGATGGAATCCAGCTGTGTCCCTACCAGAACTAGAAAAGTGCTTGGCTGGAGCTTTTCAGAGCAAAGCTCCTGTTTCTGAAGCCATGCAGCAGTGGGGCTAGGAGACATTTGGACTTGGGGCTTGGCATGGAAGTAGCACCTATCTATTGCTCAGACTTTAGCCATCTAAATTTCAAAATACAAAAGACAGCAGGACTGCAGGTAACTCTTCTGGCATATCTCCTATCTATGCATGGGTAGCTTGCTGTTAGTATGCCCTGGGGAGGAGACACAGAAGAAGGAAGAGAAGGGATGGAAGGGGCAAGTTGAGATTAAGGAATCACTGAGTCCACACAAGATGGTTAATTATGTTCAGCAACTTTCACAATACTCTACTTTCACAATACTCTAGTTTCAATCACTGACTTTATGTTTTCACCTGACAGAAACCCCTTTTTTTACATTTTGGAGCCTCAGTATCTATCACAAGTTGGCAGCTGCCTCTGGAAGACCAAGTTAGAAGTCAGACTGAATGAATTCACCGAATATATTTAGGAAATGAAGTATAAGGACTTTTACAGAGTTGATTTGTTAACCTAGGTTGTGGAAATATAACCCTGAAGTACAGAAACTTTCCAATAAGGCAAAATTGCAATTTTTGTTCCTGTCCGTTGAGATCTTAAATTCTTTCTGGAAGAAAACACAAAATGTAACAGAAAAAATAGGAAAAAATCCAATCTGTACCACTAACCTGCGCTATAAATATCAACTTCTAGAACTTGTCTTGCAAAACAAAGATCAAAATTTTAATAAAAACTGACATACTTTACTATCCAGAATTAATTGGAAGTTTTAACATTAAAATACTCATTTCTGCATGCACTCTGCACAACATAAAACACATGTAGCAAAACTAGCCACATGTTGCTCATGACTACCTCCCTTCTGATGAACCATATACTTGACATCATTTGTAAAGCTGTATTTGCTTCCTATACACACACATTAAAAACAAAATGGAAAATGGCAGAAAAGGGAAAAAGGGAAAATCTCAGCAGCCTAATTCACCTCTAGCTTGAATACCCCAGTTAGGCAGCTAAAAAGTACTAAGTAGCATGAAACACTGGTATATTAAAACCTGCAAGATGTACAAGGGACAAGGGGAAGCTGCAAGGCCAGAGCTTCTGTCCCTGCAAAAAGTATTCAAGCTTCAGAGAATACTTGATGCAATCCTTGCTCAGCAAACACCTCAACCTACCATCTTACAGTGCCCTTTAACTGCCAGGACAAACCTGGTGAATACAGAGTGATACTATTTGTACTTGCCATGGCAGATCACTGCTAACCATACACATGAAGGAAAGAACAGACACGCTGTGTAGGGTACCACAAACATGCCAAATGAGTAGGCAGAGTTGGAGTTAATTTCCATGAAGGAATCTCAGAAACTCATCTCGAATGGGGGCACCACCATTACTAAAATTTTACACAAAACATGCACAAATACAACTTACAGCATTGTGTGATCTTCTGGATGTTAGAAGTTATGCGTTGGGCTAGTTGATTGGGATCCCCAAAACCTGGTCCGTACGACATGGCTGAGTAGGTCTGCTGTCGCGGTCATCCACAACAGGAAAATGACAGACACTCTCTACCTACAAAAAATAATAGTTATGTTTCAGTCATTGGTTTATATTGGTTCATCTTCTTAAAAAATATAGGGGAGAAGATTAAAGAAAAATCCATACAGTAATGTTTATCCTCTCCAAAAGCACTGTACTTCAAAGACAGAGTTTATTCTTTGTCAAACTTCTTATGTATTTCCCCCACTGTTATCAAAGAAAGAGTGTAATTTTAATTTCTTGTCATTCCAGAAAAAAAAGCTGTATGTTTAATCTGAAAATGCCAAACCCTCTGAAGAATTACATTCCAAACCAATTATATTGTTACTTACATACCATATATCACCCATCCAATACAATCCAGCATAAGTAACCACTGGAAAAAAAAACTCAGCAGATATCACACAAGACATCAGAAAAAAGGCAGCATCCAGTTTCCTCTAAACACCAATCATTTGCATCAACTTCAGTTATAGTTTAACCCAGTGTTACCTAAATTCTATGAATTAGCACTTTATCCTGTTTCAGCGGCTGCATTTGTCAATATGAATTCATTTTTCAACAACTTGGGTATTCAAACACATTTTTAGTGTTTTTCCATCCATACAGATCAAATTTCAGCACAATCTCGTGTGCTCATATCCTAAATAGAAATTAACAAGACAGATTACAATATCTGCAAATCAAAACTGGCAGTTTATCTGTTCTGCAGTGAGAATGCAGAATAATCAAGCACATACACATCCAACACAAGTCCACAATTTCATCCAGGCTTACTCTGCTGCACATCACCTTCACAGGTTGAACATTTTAACTTCACCACTTTCCCACATTTCCACTGTTCAACCCTTCCAAGCAATGTCCACTTCTGGCCCATTGGCTTCTGGTTAAGAGACACAGCTAAAACTCAGTTTCTGGTATACAGAAAAAGAAAGAACATTCACTGTGTGAAAAGAAGGAAATAAAAAGGCCAACTGATTTGTCAAGTATGACAGCAGCTGGGCTACAATTTGAAAACTCAAATCCTTACAAACTTTTTAAAAATACAAGCAATTAACAGTCTGTGTAGCCAAATATTTCCTTTCACCTTTGGAAATGCCTGTATTAATAGAGGCAGCAACACCCTGGCTGTTTTAAAACACAACTGGTTTCATATCTCTGTAACATTAAATGATCTCTAGTGAAGCCAAGACACTGTACTGGTCCTGACATTGTACATCCCACCAAAACTTCATCAGGGACGTAACTACAGATGTCAGGCCCAGCCCTGCTGCCCTGCAGGTGACATCACCTGTGCCCCATGAAGAAGCTCCTGCTACCATGAAGACAAACCCGGCATGATTCCAAAATGGCTGCTTCACTACAATCCCAAACCCTGTTTGGAGTCTCCACGGCCTGAGGTATCCCCTATTAATGAACAACCTGACTGCAGACAAGGCGACAGGGAGTGTATTTGCACTCTTCTACTTGCTGCTCTTTTGCCTGAGAGTCATGATAGCTGTCTGCAGTGTAGTTCCCTGTCTTTGTCTGTACCACATGCAGATTCAAGTTATTTTGACTTAAGTCTGGAGTCAGCCAGCGAGCCAGCCTAAATCTCACTTATCTGGGCCAAGGCTGGTATTACAACCCTTGATCTTTTTGGAAACTCCAGGCAACTTTGCACTGAATTTGTATTGAAAGAACAAACCCACTCAAATTTTACAGCAAATAAATGCCTCTATACCTTGGTGTATTGACTAAGTAAGGAAATCTACCAGTTCAGTGAAAAATACAATCATAGGCATAAAACCAAAGAAATCACCTAAAAACTAAGTTTGAAAAAGACCTCTCAGAACTGCAGACACGTTTTTTAAAAGTTATGACTACTTCTAGACACCTTAGCAGCATGTTAACTACAATGCTACTTACTAAAAAACTTTCTAGTTAAATATTACAGTTAATGTTAAAAGTTAATCATATGTTTAAGGATAATGTTAAAATGCCACTGCTAAGGAGGAGAGATGGCAAAAGACCAAGCTACCTAGAATTAACTGAAATAGTTTTTCATGATTGGCTTTTCTTCTTTTTTATTTGTATTCACCAAACAGCTGCCTGTAACACTGTTCTCAGGAATACCTTTACAATCAAGAGATACACTGAATATTTCATCCAAGTCTTGACAAAAGCAGTTACTGCTTTTCTTTGTCTTGCAAATTGCTATAGCTAACTGTGTATTTAAAGGAGTTACATTCCACTACACTGACAAACATAATTGTTCTATACATAAAGGTTTTTCAACTTTCTACTACAGCCAAACACAATAGATAGCAAGATGTTCAGATGACAGACTGCAAAGTCCACAGGATATAGCTCAGCTTTTCAACTGCACATGCAGATCTCTCTAATTGTTGACACAATTCTTTTTATCAACCACATACTTAAGACTTGAGATTTATAGTAAATTTGTAGGATAGCCACAGTTGTAAACAATATAAACCAGTAAACCACAGCTGGTTTACTCCATGTACATTCTTCTGCTAACAGAGCTACTCCTGTATTATTTTTCAGTAATACAGGTTGGTGACAGAGTAAGTGACTGGTCTGGGGAACAGACAGAAAGAGAGGTAAGAGGACAGCCATCAACTGTCATCACCTCCCAATCTTCACCACCCTTTCTCCCTCTAGTTCCCACAGTAACACAGACATCTGAACCAGATGAACACCCTATTTCCACTCACAACCCCTTGTTAATGCTGAGTTACTCAAACTCCTCTGAAAACACAGATAAGCTGAGCCCTTGAAAGTCAACTGCTAAGGACCTAGACAAGGTCAGGGTTTCAACCACTAGGAAACAAAGCAGGCATACCAAGCACTTCCTTCCATCCAGGATGATAGGAGCATTCATCAAGACACTGAATTTCCATAGGAATTACCCCTTTTCACTTTCACAGCATTTAACTACTCTGTTGTGAGATATTTTGGTATGACTGGCTGCACAACTTACAAAACAGGGAAGTTAAAAGCCTGCTGCAGTTGCAGGAAGTACACTTCGCCTTCAAACTGGAACGCAGCTGCACTTGTGGTAGTCTTCAATTCCTCTAAAAGTTTCAGTCAGGTGTGAGTTTCTGATTGCACATTTTATCTTCTGCTCAACAACTCTGCCTCTGAAGGGAATATACTAGTGCCAATTCAGCTTGTCAAGCTACTGTAGAAAGTCCAAGGAACTGAATCTACAGGCACAAATGAAATGAAAAATCAGAAATGTTAAATGTTAAATATTAGTTAACACTAACTGAGGCAGGACCTAACTGCACATTGAGGTTTAAAGAATTCAAAGGGCTGAATATATTTTTCATAATTTTTGCATTAACTAGTTCCTATATCACATGGCCATTCAATACCAAAACAAAAAGTGAATCTTAGTATCAACATACTTTCTAGAAAGGCGTTTGTCAGGTATAAGAAAAAATCCACTTTTCCATCAGCTACGAATTAGAAACAAGAAATCTCTACATCTAAGCAACTCCCCAGTGTCATTTCTGAAAGCTCCATCAGGACAAAAGGAAGTGACGTGACAAGCACTACATGTCAAATTCCACAGCAGTCACACGAATATTTTGAAGACTCCAGTCAGCTACAGTTAATAAGCACATAATCTATTTTTTATTTTCTCATTTAGATATTTGAAGAATCCTCCTTCTCGCAGAAATCTAGCCCAGATACATTAGGATAAAAACACTTAAGCAATAGTTTTACTCTTATAGCATTAGGACCTAGAAATGTTTACATGGACCCTTAACTTTCAGAAAGCAAAAAGTACATACTGCATTCCATAGAACACTTGAAAATTTAAATCTGATCTGAATTTAAATCTGATTTTATGCCTTTAAGTATCCAGAAACAAGTCATGGGGCTTTCCTTACGGGATTTTTTTTTCCTAGATAAAGGTCACAGTAACAAAGCCTCTCCTAAACAATATGTGTTTTCCTTTATAAATTACCCTTCCCCCCAAAAAAGTGCAACATTCTTCAAGTAGGGTGAAAACACAGGCAAAGGTGATGAACTGCTGAAAAACTTGGGGAAAAATTTCAGCAAGTCACAATGCTAGCTACAGAAAAGGACCTCCTGTTACAGAACCTGAGGGATTCTCATAACTGACTCACAGCAACTGACTTAGTAAGATAAAGGTGAGCATTAAATCTGTCATTATTTTTGCTCGGGGATGAGGGAGGTTTAATTTTTCCTGGACATGCATCTTTTTTTCCCCTCATACTTAAGCTAAAAACTTTAGAGACTAACATTACATTTCCCACTTTCTCCTTTTACAACTTCTAATGCGCTGAAATCCCGGTGCACACACAGACTCTAGGCCTCCATAATATGCAAACGAAGTAGCAGTAAAATTAAATTCCTCTTGCCTTCTTAAAAGAAAAGTTTCTAGATTTTTTTCTATCCTCTAGTTTCAGGTAGAAGTCAAACTTAAATCCATACATGGAAGGAAAAAGCAAAGTTTATTTAAAACTGCATCAACACTAACAGAAAAGATGTCAAAAGGTAACTTCCTACCTACTCTGCATAATTCCCTTAGCGTTGCCATGTTACTGACACTGAAACCTACCAAAACCAAGCTTTCATCATCTCTCAGCTCTGTGTTTGGGTTTTTTGGAATAATTATTAGATTGTGGCACTGGTCAGTGTTTTATTAATTTTTCCTAAAACTGATTCTGTTGAACAAAGATGCAACTTAAAGCAGCAACATTTAAACTGCTCAGCATGAGAAACTAAATTACAGAAGCCTGAAATTCTATTAGGCCTAATGCATCACCAACACTTAGCATATATGGATAAAAATTAACATGCTTGCAGTTGTCTGATTCATCCACACTGATATTTATGATGAACTAGGTGAAGGAAGCACATAGCATTCACAAGCCTGAGAGAACACATTAGGGATTGGCAAAATGCCTTAAGTAAGAGAATTATGTTTCCTAGGAGCGCACAAGGCATTTAAAGGCTTTATGATGAAGCAAGGAATAGGAAAACGAACACTGGAGACTGAACTGTGGGGGAAGAGAAGGAATGGGAAGTCTGAAAATGGACCTGAGACGACCATTTCAAAGTTCTTGTGCAGATTCTTGTGCAGCTGGTAAGCAAACAACATCTCATGGGAAAAAGAAGATGGGTGAGAAGCCCGATATACCTAGTGTGCTGTTTGTTCTCACACAATTCTCCCTTACAGTACCTTGCCTGAATTGAACCAAGTGCTCAGATCAAGTGCACCAAAGGAGAAGTTACCTCTGCACAAAATCTGATTGCAACGCATGTCGAGTCTCTCTGAGGCCTACCAGGGTACTAATGACTACATATAACTTATGGTCTCCTCTCTCAAGAGTTTCACTTCAGTGTAAGCCACCAAGAAGAGTACTACCTCATATTCTTCCGAAGACTACAAAAGGCATCTTCATGAAGCCAACACAGACACAGGCTATAACAATGCCATCATTTAGCATCACTTTCTTCTAATTTTGACATATTTTAACTCTTTTTTTCACCCTTCACCTTCTTCTCCATTAAGAGCAGTTGCACAATCCCCAGGCTCCAAGCAGAAGGGCTGCACTGCCGGCAAAGCACAAGCCTGTGTAATGACCCGTCAGGAGGGCTCCACTCGCCCTGCTGGCACAGCCCTCTGCCTTTGAGAGGTTTGCGGAGGGGATCACAGCACAGCATTCTGGCCAAGTATCCTGAGATTTTATCACTGGCCTTCTTCCACTAAGATGTGGTGCCCTGCACTGCATGCAAAGCGGAGTGCAACCTTCCACTGAATTGCTGAGTTTGAAGAAGCGCCCATTCCTGATGCAGCGGCGAGTGATTCACCAGGCAAACAGCGATAACGTCGGGCCAGGCCCGGGCTCACTATTTACATCAGCCACTTCTATAATGTCCCCTCCTCCCGCTGAATGCTCACCTCGGACCGGGAACAGCAAGGGGAGCATTTCCACAAGCCGGGAGCTCGTCCTACCCTACAGTTCCCCACCAGCTGCTATAAAACACCTGCTGTAGGCCCCGACCCTTCCCCGAGAGCATCGCCAAGCCCGCAGCCCTGGTACCGTGGCTGTCACAGGGAAGAGTGCGGGGGAAGAAGCCGGTGCTGACACGGCCGACCGCGCTCCAACACCGTGCTCCCCGCACTGCCCCTGCCCCACTACCCCGCCTCGCCCACAGCCGCCCCGCTCGCCCCACGGCCGGGCACGGGGGCGCGGCCCCGGCCCCAGCCAGGCCCTCCCCGCGCCTGACAGCCCCTTCCCGGCCGGCCGGACACCGCCCCGATCCCCCTGCCTGCGGCGGGCGGCACCCCCAGCGCCCCAGCGGAGCTCCCACGGCTCTTACCCGGCCCCGGCGAACCCGCTCCCAGGGGTGCGGCGGGGGGCGGTGGCGGTGAGGGCGTGGAAGGGCGGGCAGGGCCGGGGCCTGCCCGCCCCTTCGTGACGGGAAGGCGGGGAGAGGTGCGGCCCCGCCCGGCGGCTGCGAGAGCGGGGCAGGGCGGTCCCTGACGGGCGGCTCCGCCCAGGCCTGCGGGGGGACCCTGCGGCTGACGGGCACCGAGGGCTGCCGAGGGCAACGGGGCAATCCCGGCAGCCGCAGCCCTATGCGAATGGAAAAAGTGAGGGTGAGGAGTATTTAGGGAAAAGATGCTGTTGCATCAGGAAGCAGGGGGGAAGCATGGGCAAGGATACAATATTATTGGCGTTACTATGTTAATAGCCTGCTTTGTCAGCCCTGCCTTCAGCTTGGGTCATTTCTTCTCTAAAGGGGAATGGACAATTCAAGCGAGTGAGTGGGAAAATGTAGATCTCTTTGACGGTGCCTTTGAATGCAGAGACGGACAATATTGAGCTGGGAGAGGGGCAAGCGATGCCAGGAGCACAGGGCAGCCGGTACCGGGCTCGGGAGGACAAGGAGGATGCGGTGGCCGCAGCACCAGGGCTCCTCGTGGCCCAGCTACCTGAGAAGTGACAGGTGAGCCTCCAGGCTGCCTGCACAGCATTTGAGGCATTTCTGCATCCTCCCCACTTCTTCAAAGGGACAATGACAAGGCCAAACGCTCCCCAGAGGCCTGGGGCTGAGCCGCTTCGTCTGCAGGATACTCCTGTGCGCATTGAATTCTGATTGCTGGGAATGGCGCCTCCTCCACACAGCCCAGCCTCGCCCGAGGAAGAGCTGCAGAAACTGGGAAGCGCAGGTTTAATTCTGCTTCATTGTAGATCTTGGTCGTTGCTAAGGTTTAGAAATAGCTAGAGCAGTAGAAAACTTACTAGGCATCCTAACCCAGTAATAACAGAGGAACGTAATAAACTGCAAACACAATGGAGTTAAAGGTTAAAGGTCTGAGATAGGCAAGACTACCCTTTAGCTTACATGTGGTCACAAAGCATGCTGAAAGGAGTGGCAAACAGAGTCCGAGAATTGTATGCCTACATAGAGTTCTTATGTTAATTGATGGTTGGAAGTGTAATTTTCTTACTTTCATGAATTGAAGTTACTAAGGAGAAAAGCCATTCTGATATGCCTTTTTGCTGCGGGAATGCTGTATTACATAGTCAATCTATTTTTACCAGGCTATTTTTATTAGTGATGATTTTAGCGTTGCTACATGTGCGGTGTTTTCCCCATGATCCCACTAGGTGGTGCACTGATGAGAGTATAATGCACATCCCTTCCAAATCAAGGGCCTTCCTTGATTTTCTCTGTCATATAAACTCCATTGATTG